CCAGAGATGTGGAAGTGGGGTACAGACTGACAATCCCCAGAAAAGGGGGTGGGGGTGGGGGATAAACCACAGAACTTTCATGCATGTTTGCATGAACAGTGGACATGGACAACAAAGCTGGGGACAGGGCAGGGAGGGTGGGGGAGGAGGGTGTCAGTGGTGGAAAAAGGAGAAACATCTGTAACAAAAATTAATTAATTAATTAAATGAAAAAAAGAAATTCCAAAAATAGCCCTGGCCGGTCTGGCTCAGTGGTTGGAGAGTCAGCCCATGGACAAGAGAGTCCTGGGTTTGGTTCCCGCTAAGGGCATGTACCCGGCTCCGGTTGGGGTAGTGTGGGTGGCGGCCACTCGATGTGTCTCTCTCATGTCTATGTTTCTCTCTCTCTTCCTCCCTCTCTCCCTCTGCTCTATCTGAAGAAAAATGCAAAAATGTCCTCGAATGAGGATAAAAAAATTCAACAAATAAAATAAGCACACCACCACTATCACACCTAATAAAATGAAAAATCATCTTTTAATATAATCTAATTCTAGGTCGTGTTCATACTCCCCTAGTTCTCTCCAAAATGAATTCTGACAATAAGGTGTGCAAATCAGGCTCCAGAGAAAGTCTACATTCATGTTGGAGTGATGAGACTCTTCTTTCCAGTTCATTTTAAAACTGAGACAGAATTTATGCATCTAGAGTGTCTCTTAAATCTTTAAAAATCTATTAACATTCCTCCTTCCTCTTTATTTCATGCTATTTATTTTTTGAAGAATTTCTCAATATCTTGTAAAATTTCTCAATTTCTAGATTTTTCTGATTGCATCCTTGTGGTATTATTAACACGTTCCTCTCTCAATTTTTTTCCTGTAAATTGGTGGATGGATCAGTGGCTTGATTAGATTCTATTTTTATATTTTATACCCTAAATTTTTTATTTCTTTTTTTTCTTTTTTAGATCTAGATTAGTCACGTCTTCTCCAAAGAATTCTTCATTTCAGCTCCATCCCTGCACTCTGTGGCTGCTCCTTTCTTGGACACTTCTAGCGTTCCACCTCTCTGTCACTTTATCCATTAAATCAAGGCCTGCAGCATGCCTTGAGTGCAGGGACCATATATGGCTCATCACTGCTATTTCCTCCATATCTAGCATGTAATATAGTTGGCACAGAGTAGGTGCTTCATAAATAGTTGTTGAGATAAATGGATATGAAAGTATAAATTGTATGCTAATTATCTGCTGATTAGTTCTTGTTGCCTTATGTGTGGTTTCTCATTGTGTAACAAGCTTTGACTCAACTCCTGTACTATGAGTCTCTGGAGAGCTGGGAGGAAGTCAGTTCACTTCTGTAGTCAGTTCATTTCACTGGGTACCCGCATAGTGCCATATCCCTATGTTGTGCACATTCAATGCATACTGAAATGGTAACCCTTGCCCATCTATCCTGGCTGGATTTTTATGAGCTCAAATAAGAGGTGCATGTGACAGACATTTGCAAAAAAGTGAAAGTATTCTATAAATATAGGTCATATCATTAGTGACAATAATTATAATCTCTAGCCATTGCTTTTGTGCTTTTAATAGGCACAGCCCCTTGGTTGAAATGTATGGAGCTGTTGACTTTAAATAACCTTTTTAAAGGAGAGGTATTTACTCCTGTTAATAGAGGGGAGATGGCCTTGTCTCCCCCGGTTGTGGGTCGGGGCAGATTTCTTTCAATCTCTTGAGAAAAAGAATTTTCCGAGACTCACACAGGGGGATGTGATATTGTAGAAAGCTTTAACTCTATGGAATCAAACTCCGGAGTTTCCAAGGTTTTGTTTCCCTCAGTCCTGCCAAGGAAGAAGTCCCATTTTGCCGTTAGCAGGGCTAAAATCAGAGTCGGTGTCTAGAATTTCCTTTCCAATGCTGCACAGTCCCATACAGCATCAGGCTAGCCGAATCTGTTTCTCCGCTGCAGTCCATCAGTCCATGCATGTGGAGTCCACAGGTCTACATGTCTATGGACAAAACACGAGAGAATGTAAGGGAGCCAAGACCTAGCCAAGAGCACAAGAGAGAACTCCTTTGTCTGCAGATTATATATTCCCAAATTTTTGCCTCTTGCTGTGGCCACGCCCATTCTGACCAATGATCTTTGTTTTCAGATGTAACTGATAGGCAAGTACCTTCCCTATGTCACCCCAACTTTATTAGGCATGTGTCTATCTTCCCTTTGTTGGATCCCTTCCCTCAGTGTTTTGCAGGGAACAGGCCAGTGGTTCCCTGGAAGCTGCCCAAATGACATGCCTGTAATATGAAGCTTCCTCCTTTGCTCCTTTCCCATTATTAATAACAAGCTAATTACAATGGTATCACTCCTAGGATTTAATTTATTAATGAAGAGGAATTACAGGGGCCATCTCTTAGCAAAAAAGAGAAAAAAATGTTTTTGTTTATATATCTGGAAAAATCTAAAGATATATGATTGTATGATTGTTGATCTTATCTCATTCATTCTCATTTTTAGTCAGCTTCCCTATGTGACCACAAGTAATTAGCTCTAAGTTTTCTTCTGAACCAGCACCATGCTTCCAGAAATCAGACAGTTTTCCCCAGTTTTCTTAGCAGAAAAGTCGAAAGGAGGACTTTTGCTCATGTTAGCATCTTATGTCTGTCCCTAAATAAATCACTGTGGCTAAGGAAATGGGGTCCACTGAATGGTCAGGATAAGACTGTACACCCACTCCCATTGGGTGGCATTTTAATCAATAACCCTGACATATGTAATGGAAGAGAACATTTCCTGAACCAAGAGTGAGACCAGAAGAAAAGGTATAGAAAAAAAAAATAGCTATCTGTATGTACCTCATGGCAACTTCAGCTCATAGTGCTACAGTCTAGGGATCTGTCTGGAAGGTGCACTTAGTTGTAGGTTAAGTTCAGGAGTCTTAGTTTTTTTGATAGGTTTGCCCTGGTTAGGTTTGGTCCCCTAAGTCTAGCAGGTCTTTTTGATATAATGAATGACATAATGAATTGTTTCATTATAGTTCTAAAGATGTTATAAACTGCATTTGCAAGATGAAGTCCTTGACAGTCTTCAAGGAATCAACAGGCCAAAATTATGTATAGAATCTTATTTACATCTATATTTTCTGGGAAGAGGATCCATAACTTTCCTCTGATTAAAACGCTTCTGGTGATCAGGAAGATTAAGAAGACTCCAGTGTTTCTCAACAGGGGAATCACTGATATTTGGACAAGAATATTTGTCACAAAATATATAGGATCTCTGGTCCATACACCTCAAATGACTATAATACCCCCAAGTCATTGTGAAATTCACCTCCCCTACCCCCACTTCAAGTACCTACAGCTGAGAATCAAGATGGGCCTAGGAGTCTAGGTTGAATGTTCCTTTGTGTTTTCCCATCCCTCTTCCTTTGGCTGAGAACACTTCCCTGCGTCTAACACCTGGTTTCTAGGAATCTTTCTATTAAGGAATCTGGGATCCACATTCATGAGCACGAAAAGTCCACTTTCCTCAGGAGTGTTAAAATATTTTGCCACATTTTAATGGCATAGTGAAGGACCTAAAAGTGGGATTTGGGGAAGTAAGTTTCATTGTGGGATTTTGGTAATTGCTACTATAATTTGGTGAACATCCTGCACTTTCCCCCAAATCTCCTTGATATCCTTAACTCTTAAGATCCTTTCGGATGTAAAATTAAAATATTTCACTGTGAGGCAAAACGTGCAATTCCTGGAAGATGCCCGCTCATTAGTCTAGCCCCCTTAGGGTTTTCTCCCAGCATCATCATTTAGTTTACTAAGTCTGAAAGGAGAAACTCACAGACGAAATGTTCGTCTGAAAGGAGTAGCTTTAAGATCTAGTAAATAAAAGAATGACTCTTTCTATAGATCACAAATCACTTTCTCTTGTATTTGACCTTGCAACATCTGAACCAAGTTTGCCAATCTTCCTCTTACAGATGAAGAAACTGAGGCTTCTAGGAATCTAATGCCATGCCCAACATTACACAGAGCTTTAGAGGACTCCGGATTTCAGCTCTGGGTCTTAAGGACTTTAAATGCCACCCTCTGGAACTAATCAGAGTGAAGGGCTGGAAACAAAAAGAGCTCCAGCCCAGCCTGTTTTTCAGTTACCTAAGCCAGTGCCGGGAAGCCCAGGCGGGGGCTGACACTTTTAGTCACTGCCCCACAGCTTCACTCCTGAACGGTTGGGACAATGTCGTCTAACTCTCAGTCAACTGAGATACTAAAATGTCAGTGACGAGCTGTTTTGTTCTTTGTGCCTTTTTAACCGAACGGAACTTGCCAGCGCTGCTTTAGACCGAAGTGGCGCGTGGCCCGAGGGGCCGGGCGGATGGGCGGCGCGCTCAGGCTGCGGACTGCGGAGAGGACCGCGAGCCGCCGCTGGGTCCCAAGTGGGCGAGCCGTCCCCCTGCAGCCCAGCTCGCTCGGTCTGTCGCAGCAGCGCTGGGCGGCGCGCAGACCCATAGGAGTCCTTTTATTTCAAGGCAAGCTTGAGGGCTAAAACTTTCTAGTGGCAAACCCTTCCCTATTTTTTTTCTTTTTTTAATAAGGACTTGGCGTCTCCTGGCACATGTCTGGCCGGGAGGAGGGGTGACGGGGGGAGAGCAGGCTGAGTCCGTCCTTATTAATATTTAATGGCCAGGTCCGTACCCTTGAGGGAGCGGGGAGAGAGGAGGGAGAGGAGCTGCTGACATTGACAGTGGACCCAGACAGGAGCGCCCCGGCGGTGTCCACCACGCCGCCTCGGCCCCGCCGGGCCTGCTGGGAGTTGTAGTTCCCGCGGGGAGCGCGGCCCCGGCCAGCCGGGAGAGCTGGCCCGGCCGGACTACAATCCCAGGCAGCGCGGGCCGCGGCCCCTCCCGCCGGCGAGTGTGAACTCCGGCGCCGGGGCGGCCGCGCGGGCGGAGGGCTGAGCTGGGCTGTGCGCGGGGCGCGCTCGCGGGACCCAGGCCCGCCACCTCCCCTCCGCCCGCGGGCTCGGTCCTCCCCTCGGAGCAGCGCCGGGACGGGAAGCCGGAGCCATGCAGTCGGAGTCGGGGATCGTGCCGGATTTCGAAGTCGGGGAGGAGTTTCACGAAGAGCCCAAAACCTATTACGAACTCAAAAGTCAGCCCCTGAAGAGCAGGTGAGTGGTGACAGCTGGAGGGAGGTGCGGCGGGCGGCGGGGGTGCCTCGCGCCTCCCACCCTGGGGCGGGGAGAGCCGGTCGCTGGGCTCTGGGACAAGGACCCTGTGCCCTTGCCCCGGGCAGACTCGAACTGTCCCCCGCAGTCGGGGTCTGCGCCCGCGCGGCGCGCCTCTGAGGGGCTCCGCCCCAGCGCACTTCGTGGGCGCCGTGGGCAGCCCGGGGGCTCTCCCGGGCCAGGGGACCCTCGGCTGGCGATACCAGCGGCGAGGCCGGGGGAGGCTGGGGCGCTACCCGGCGCGGAGGTGGGGGAGGAGGAGCGCGGGGCCGGCCGCTGGCCGGGTGGGAAGGGGGAACAACAGTTTCAAGTGAACCCCTTTCCTGAAGATCCCAGCGGGCTGAGGACTTGGAGAGGGACAGCTTGCGGGGTATGGAGGCGTGACGTTGGAGGGAAGCAATTAGCACGTTTGTGTCGCCTCTTAGGAATTGTCCCCTCTGGGAAAACCCGCCCGTGGCCGCCTCCAGGTGAGGTTTCCTTGAGCCCCGCCACTCACCTGCCCCAGGGCCGCACTGGAGTGGGGTGGGGCGAAGGCAGCGGGGCGTGTCCCTGCGTCAGGGTTCTACTCCGTGGGCGATGGAGACCCTTCGAAATCCGGGCCTTCCTTGGAGAGGAAAAAGCCTTGGGGCTGGAGGGAATTGGAGAGTCCCCTGCGTGGCAGTGACACGTATTTAATTAACTAGGAACTTAAAAAAACTTTGTAGGAGAGGAGTGAAGACACCCGCTGGCCTGGCGCCCTATCCACCTACAGTGCCCATTCCTATTCTGCCTCTATCCCCACTTTCCTGTCAGAGGGCTAGGGTGTCTTCCTTTCACTGTCCTGTGGGCATTTGCAATGTTTACTGAGGGGAGATGGTCATTTGCAGCTGTGCCAGCAGAGAGGGGTTATTTCCACTCCTCTCAGTGTGGGAACAGATAGGGCGATATCACTGGAAGGTTCAGACTGCTCCTGCACCCATCTCAAACCTCCCTGCTGGCCCCTCGCTGCGGGTAGGACTGAGGGCACGGGCCTGGCTGGCAGGGTGGAGAGGGTCCAGAGAAAGCAGGGTGAAAGAAGAAAGGGAACTGAGTCAGGAGTGAGGGGCTGTAGTCTCTGCTTCTGGGTGCAGGGGGCCAGGCATATTTACTTTAGGGCTTTGCCAACCCTCCAAATCCAAGTTGGGAAAGAAAGTGAACAGCACACTCACTGACCAGGTTGCTGAAGCAGCCTCTTTGCAGATGCTACAGGAGACTGGAAGGAAACCTCTGCAGTTAGATGCATAAAACCAGCCTGTAGTTGATGATTTCTCTTCATAATGGCTGTCTTGTGTGTGAGCATAGATTGTGTGTGTTGGGGGTTGGGAGTTTTGAGTAATATTGTGCAAAGGGTATTGTTGGTTATGCTCATTGGAGCTTTATCTGCATTCAGCTGAAGGGACCAGTGTTTTACTGAGCAGCCTCTGCTTTTGCTTCTATAAGCAAATGCTTGCATTGCCAGAATGAGGGAGTGTGTGTGTGTGAGTGTGTGTGTGTGTGTGTGTGTGTCCTGAAAAGAATGAATTAACTGGACTGTTTGGAACACTTTTTATGGTAGCTGATACATAACATTAAATGAATTTGAGAGAGTGAGGAAAATACCATCTGGAATAACCCAAATGAATGCCATGCATCTCATGTTGAGGGATTTGGGCCTGTTCTTTTTCAGAGTTGGCAATACATTGCTTGCAAGGGTGAATGAATGTGCTGGCACGTGTCAGGCAAAGTGTGGGACTGGGAAGAAATGGCTTCACACCTTGAAGCTAGAAACGGGTGTGGGACAGAACCTGTATGGAGAGCAAGGCTAAATTTAAAAAGTTGTCAAACTGTGGAGCAGACACATGCTCTTTGAAATAAAGCAGTTAAATAAAATCTGTGAATAAATAGATGAGATTGATGAAATTTCCCTACACTGTTTTTCATAGTTGTCTGATGCATTGTCATCAACATCTGTTGTGTGTCTTTAAAGAGGCCACACATTGTTCAGGGCCTTTTCATGGCTTTTTCCGAAGTCTTTGACGGGGCACCTCCCTTATAGGTCTTGGTTGGAGAAAGTTGAAATTGAAAGGTTAAGACTGCTAGAGCTATTTTGTCTATCAATTGTGTTCTTAGGCATGTGTGTTAGTGTTGAAAATATGCCCCGAATCTGCCCACTTCTCATCAGCTCCTCTGCTACCACTTTGATCGAAGCCACCATCTGCCCTCACCTGTGTTATTGCAGCAGCCTTAACTGGTCCTCTGCCTTCTACTCTTACCCACTTTCTTGGGTTTTCAACACAGCAGCTATGACGTTCCTGTTAAAGCTGATTCTCAGCCTAGGGGCGGTTTTGCGTCCCAGTCATTTGGCATAGTCTGGAGACATTTTTGGTCATCACAGCAGAAGGGAGTTACTGGCCTCTGCTAAGCAGAGGCTGCTACGATTCTACAGTGCACTAAGTGAACAGCATTTTGCCCCAAATGGTCTCTACTGAGGTGGAGAAACCCTGTGTTAAAACCTGTAACATCATGTCATTCTCTACTCAAAAGACTTCCAATGGCTCCTAGTTTCACTAACATCCGAGAGCCTTCAAATGGTGCAGGTGGCCTACTCGGTCAAGTTGCCTGTTAGCTCCGACTTTGTCTCTTGTTGCCACTCTCCTGGCTCCCTCTGCCCCAGCCAGGCTGGCCTCCTCACTGTTCCTGGGCCATCCCCGACCCTTCCACCTCAGGGCCTTTTGTGTTGTACTTGCTGGTCCCTCTGTCTGGACTGCCCTTTGCCCAGGGAGCCACGGGGCTCCCTCCCCCACCAGCTCCAAGTCTCCCTTTAAATCCATTCCCATTGAGCCTACCTTGATCACACTGTTTATAACTGCTAACCCTTCAAACTCCCATCTTCCTTGCCTTGCTCTGTTTTTCCCATGGTACTTGCATTATAAGGTATTCTATACTTTTCTGATTTGATATGTTTATTATATGTTTCTCCACACTGGACTGCAGGCTCCAAGGGAGCAGGGATTTCTGTCTCTTCCTTGTTTACTGTTGTGTCCCAGAGCCTAGAACAGAGTTTCTCAACCTTGCACTGTTGACATTTTGAATTGGATGATTCCTTGTGGGGGCTGACCTGAGCATCGCAGGATGTTTAGCAGCATGTCTGGCTCTGCCTACTCGAGGCCAGTTGTGACAACCAGAAACGTCTCCAGACATAGCCAAGTGTCCATGAGGGGCAGAGTCCCACCTGTTGTGGAACGACTGGCCTAGAACAATGCCCAGCACAGTGAATGTTTGGTTTTTGTTTTTTCATGCAACATTGCATTCCTTTCAAAATGCACTGTTGCTGCCAGGGTCTCTCCGGAGAAGTCTTTGTATACTCTTCATTGGGGCTAAGCTAAGATAGGAAAGTGTTTCATGAAAAAGGGCAGGTTTCTTTCCTAATTCAGACCTCCTGCCTTTCGGGCTGGGAAGCTGCTGGATTTAGATGATGGGAACCACAGTTTGGTGCTACTCACTGGCAAAGCTGTTGCCGGAAGACACATGCTTCAGAAAAGGTTCTAACGAAGAATTATTTGCAATTTGGTTACCCCAAAAGGTTTTTTTTTCTTTATTGATTTTAGAGAGAGGATGGAAGGGAAAGAGAGAGATAGAAACATCGATGAGAGAGAACATCGACTGGCCACCTCCTGCACGCCCCCCCTGGGGATCGGGCCCACAACCTGGGCATGTGCCCTGACCGGGAATCAAACCAGTGACCTCCTGGTGCATTGGCTGACGCTCAGCCACTGAGCCACACCTGCCAGGTCCCAAAAGGTTTCTGAAACGTTTGTGTGCTGTGGGAATGTGCTCTGAATGGTGGTGGCAGAGGAAAAGTGTGGAGTATCATGGGTGAGCCCAGAACTGACGCATCAGCACAGGCAGGCCAGGCTGTGAACGGGCTCTTAGCGGGCTCTTAGCGGCCAGGAAGCTCTCCTGGGTCTGTGGGACCTGAAGACAACGTTTTAAATATGGCAGCGTCTTCAGGTTCATGTTTTGTTTGTATGCTTTACTCAATTTTGTAGGCTTTTTAGTTGCTAATGTCCTTTTCCTGGACAGACTTCAGAATTGGCTTAATGTAATATCAGTTTCTCCTATTCTCAACTTTTTAGTGATGTTTTAGATGACTTCCTGCAAATTAGAAATGGGTTCTTGGTTTATAATGGCAGGGCAGGATACGTGGTGGTTCTTTTCTTTCCCTTTTATTATTATTATCTTTTTATTAATTTATTTTTGTTACAGATGTTTCTCCTTTGCCCCCCCATTGACACCCTCCTCCTGACCCCTTTCCACAGCATTGTTTTCTATGTCCATGGTTACGCATACATGCATATACGTTCTTTGGTTTATCTCTTCCCTCCTCCCCACCCCACTCTTCTGAGGTTTGTCAGTCTGTACCCTACTACTATGTTTCTGGGTCTGTATTGTTAATCAGCTTATTTTGTTCATTATAGTCCACAAATAAGTGAGATTATGTGGTATTTGTCTTTCTCTGATTGGTTTATTTCTCTTAGCATAATACTCTCCAGGTCCCTCCATGTCGTCTCAAAAGATAAGAGATATTTCTTTCTTACAATTGCATAATATTCCATTGTGTAAATGTACCACATCTTTTTTATCCACTCATCTGCTGATGGACATTTGGGCTGTTTTCAGATCTTAGCAAATGTAAATAGTACTGCTATGAACACAGGGGTACTATATGGGAGAGCATAATTGCCAATGATACATCAGATAAGGGGTTAATTTCCAAAATATATAGAGTGCTCATACAACTCCACAAAAGGAAGAAAAAGAACCCAATTAAAAAATGGGCAGAGGACCTAAATAGACTCCTCTCCAAACAGGACATACAAATGGCCAAGAGACATATGAAAAAATGTCACTAATCATCAGAGAGATGCAAATTAAAACAACAATGA